CCGTTAGTCCTTGCTATGTTGTTGTTAGGTGCTGTCAAGTAGGACTCATCGTAACCCTATAAACAACAGATTAAAATCCTGTCATGTCCTGTGTATTCCCATCACCTCTGACACACTTGAGTCCAATGCTGCAGTCACTGTGTCAATCCATCTCCTTGAGGGTCTTCCTCTCTTTCACTCTCTTGTCCACATTTCCCAGTATGCTGTTTCTGTCTAAGGAACAGCCTCTTCTAGCAGCATTCCAAAGTATGGAAATGTAAATCAACACATCAACTGGATATTACTTCATCCCCACTCAGACGGCTATGATCAGAAAAAAGAAAACGGTATCTGCTGAGCAGGATGTGAAGAAACTAGAAAACTCATTCATTGCCAGTGGGAATGTAAAATGGTGTGGTTACTGAGGAAAATAGTTCAGGGGTTTCTCAAAAAGTTAAACAGAATTAGCATAAAACTCTGTCATTTTACTCTTCAGTATACATCCAAAAAAACTAAAAGCAGGCATCCAAATACTTACACAAGAGTGTTTACAGAAACACTAATCTTAATATTTAAAAGGTAGAAGCAATCCAACTACCCACCAGCAGATCAGTGGATAAATATAATGTGGCATATATACACAATAGAGTACTACACAGTAATAAAGAAGAAAGACATACTAATACATGCTAGAGTAAAGATGAATCTCAAAAGCATTATGCTAAATATAAGAAACAAGATTAAATAGATATATGATTCTATTTACATGAAATATTCCAAATAGGTAAATCAACATAGACAAAAGCAAACTGGTGATGGCCAGCACTTAGGGAGACTACAGAGTACAGACAATTTAACAGGTGTGAGTTTTTCTCTAAGGGAATGAAAATATTTCATGAAAAAGATTTTCAACTTGAAGATAGTATTAAATGTCACTGAATTGTGTATCTGAAAATTATTAAGCTAATACTATGTGAATTTAATAATAAAAGGTAATGGACTTGAGTATATCAGAAAGTATGAGAATAAGGCAAGCTTCAGATCTGTTGTTCAGAGTCATTATATGTTGTAATCAAATTGACAGCACCTAACAGAGTACAATCCCTTTTATCAAACATATCAGATTCTACTTAAATTCCCTTGAAATTTAATGAATACTTAAATTTTCAATTTATTCAATTTAAAGTTTCCTAAAATTCTTTTTAATAAGCAATGACTTAGAGGGTTACACGTGTTGGCAATCTTCACCCCTATGCTGAGAACCACTGTTTATCAGACACAGTAGTGTAATCTTTCACTGGGGCCTACCTCTCATGCCTTTTTATTTCTTGCTATACCTTATTTTGCTTCCTAAACTACAGTGATATTTAACTGCTTGTAGTTCCCTGAGTAACATGGGAGTAGCTCCTTTCTATAAGCCATGAAACACAACAATCTTATGACCTATAAAAGTGGTTCATAAGCAGGACAGCACTTTGGAATCACTTGAGGAGCACTGAAAAATTAATTTAAAAACCTGTCCAGAACCTCACTCACAGAATCAGAATTTCTGGAGAAAAGACTAGAAATTCAAGGACCAAAAGTTTACTTTTAAACATTCTCACAGTGAATTTAATGTATAGGAAGAAAAACTGCTATGAAATCCATTCTAGCTCACAATGACCTTATAGGATCTACAACTGCCCTACAGATGGCTTTCTTATGCAAAGTTCTGGTAGGTATGCACCACTGACCTTCTAGTTAGTGGCCAAACACTTTAATCCCTGTGCCACCAGTGCTCTTTGTGCTCAGTCAGGCTTGAGAATAATTTACCTAGAATATTTTACACTCACTGTCTTTTGCCATAATGCAATATTTCCTAAACTCCAATCACTCACAGATCACCTTTGGGAAGTTGTGCTTTTCTAGAAACTCAGGATTTCATTTGAAGCTTCAAATTTATTAGTGTAAAATTGTTCATTAGTTCTTCTTAACTTTAACCATACTGTTGTTATGTGCTGTCGAGTTGAAACCTATTCATGTCTGATACCCATCCCCTCCCCCCAGGTTTCCAGAGGCTGTAAACTGCACAGGAGGAGATTGCTTGTATTTATCATTCCACGGAGCAGCTTGGGGATTCAAACTGTGCACCTTTGGGTTCGCAGCACAACTCCTTAAAATTGTAGTGAAATCTTTTCTTCATTCCTCACATCACTATAATTTTCCCTTGTCTCTTTTGTTTCTAAATTAATCCTCTTTTGGGCTTTCTAACTTTTACAAGAATTTTAACTTTTATTATTTTTTTTCCATTGGATAGTTGTCCATTTAATCTTTCCTAGGGACAGCTCTGGGTTGGTTCCAACTGGAAAGTACTCAACAACAACAAAAACAAAGCAAGGGGTCAGTACACCTCCCTGCTCCTTAAGCCAACAACTCTTTTCCGCTCATCCACACATCTATGTATGCTAGGAGGGTAGCACTGAAGGAACACATCCAAGCTCAGCCTGTTTCTCCATTGTTGTATTCCTCCCACTTCCACTCTTGCAGATCCAGGAAATCACTATGAGTAAGCATACTCCAACTTCAAGTCTTGGCAGTGGGCTCTCATGGGCACCAACCTTAACCTGGCTCTGAAGCCAAACAGTTTGTTCTAATTTTGAAAAACAAAACAAAACAAAAAAAAGTCTTTTCACTGGTGTGTTAATGTGTATGTCCTTTCCTTATAAGAGTTTAGGGTTTTAGGGAGCTCTGGTGGCCTAGTGGCAAGAAGCTGCACTGCAATCCCAGAGGTATATGGTTTGAATCCACCAGATGCTCTGCTGGAGAAGGAGGGGCAATCTCCTCCTGTACCAGTCAGATCTGATTTGACGGTACACACACACACACACACAAATAATAAAATGAAATAATGAAATGAAATTAAATGAAAGAAATAAAATAAAATAAAAAGAGTTTGGGGTTTTATTAAGCGTTAAATAAAAATACGACTTTGAGGATTAAGGGGCACCTGACTCAAGCCATAGTATTTTCAATCACTTCCTACATATGGGAAAGAGGAAAACAATGATTAAAGAAGAATTAAACCATTTGAATGATGGTGTTAGTGAAGAATAGTGCATCACAGACTGCACAGACTGTCAGAAGAGCAAACAAATCTGCCATGGAATAAGGACTGCCAGAATGTTTCTTAAAAGAAAAGACAGTGAGGGACAAGAAGAGGAAGACCCCTAAAGAGATGGGTTGACGTAGTGTCTGCAACAATGGACTCAAATATACAAACTGTGAGGCCAGCAAAGAATCAGGAATTGTTTTGTTCTGTTGTACATAGATTGGTGAGTCAGCATCAACTTGAGAGCAGCTAACAACAACAATATAAATGATTTATTTATCACTTTCAGTCAGACCTTAGTACGTTTTAACTCCCTTTGCTTCATCTGATTTTTTGTGCTAAAGTCATACACTATCATTCTATACATATTTTAAAGACATTAGTATAATTAATTTTTATCCCTTTGATTTCTCTTCCTTCCTTCCTGCATTTCCATCTGTCCATGTGAGACCACTTTTATTGTGTTTGAAGAACTCCTTTTATTATTTCCTAGTGCCAATATGCCAGTATAAATTCTCTCATTTTGTAGTAATTATGTTTAATTTTACCCTCACTTTTGAGGATATTTTCACTGGATATAAAGTTCCCAACTGGCAGTTATTTTCTTTCAACACCTTCAAATTGTTCAGTACATTTACTAATTTTCATTGTTTCTACTAAGTGGAGTGGCATACATTTCCTAAACAACATGCCTCTGGAAACTATGAACTTTGAGAAATGATGGTAGTTATAGAAAGACTTCAGGTCTTTTATTCATAAGGTTGCTATGAGTCATGCTTGATTTGATGGCAATCATCAACAACAACAACATCAACTAAGAAATTGGGTTTCAATCTTATTACTGTTATTTTGAAGCAAATTAATGATTTTCCCCTCAAAGGCATACAGTTTGAATCCACCATCTGCTCCATAGGAGAAGGATGGACAATCTCCTCCTATGTGATTAACTGCCTCTGAAAACTGACTGCAGGATCAGCTATGAATTGTTCCAACTCAATAGCACATAACAACAGTTAACAATGATTTTTCTCTGGCTGCTTCTATTATTTCTATGTTTCCAGTTCTTTCAGAAGAATTTCCCTAATATATTTTCTTTGTCTTTATTCTGCTTTGTATTTAGAACTTCTTGAATTTGTGTTCTCTTTTGGGAATCTGAAAAATCCAGCCATTATCTCTTAAAACACCGTACTTTCCTCGTGGTCTCTTTTCTCCTTCTGTGATTCAATTATATATATGTTAGACCTTTTAATTGTGTACCAGATGTTTAATACTTTTCTATACATTCCATTACTTTTCGGGTTTTTTAATGATTTATGCTGATTTATTTTTCAATTCACTAAATCTACTCTTTAGCTACATCCAATCTGCTGTTAAATCATTCCTCCATTTCCTAATCTTCCCTTTTAGAAATCCTTTAATTATAATACTTGTTGACAGGTAGCAAGTACTACATCAATACTTATAGTGTTATTATTGTTGTTCAGGTGCTGGTGAGTTGACTATGACTCATAGCAGTCCTATGAACAACACATCTGAACCCTGCCCTATCCTGCACCATCTTCACATCCACTGTGGTATTCACTGTGTCAGTTCTCTCTTTGGATGACCTTCTGTTTTTCCCAGCATAATGTCTCTCTCCAGAATCTGGTTTCTCTTAAAAATACGGTCGAAGTAAGTGAAAGTAGTTTATCCCCAAAAGGTAAAATGAAAGCAAATTACATTTAAATGAGTCATTCTGGTAACATTAATAAGTTTTGGAAACGAAGTAGATAGACAGCTAAAATCGGAATTAATGACTTTATTCTGTTCAATAGAAAGGAAGCCTTTACTAAGATTACAAAAAAATTGCAACAATCTAAGTCATATTTTATATTTTTAATATCCCTTATTTCACAGGAGCTCAATGTCAAAGCATAAAAATAGAGATACTTACTCTCTCTCTTTCTCAGTCAGCTTGTCATTAATATTATCTTTGATTGTTGATCTAGATCCTTTATGAATTATAGGGTATCTGAGGGGCACTTGTAGGAAAAAGGAAATCATTGAGACCAAATGTGCAGTATAACCAAGGGCAACAGCAATGCTTCCATCATCTTTTGCTGTAAATCAAAAAGCAGAGGAAAAAACAAGAGTTTAAACATACAACTTTTGCATAGTAAAAATTTTAAAAGAAAATTTATAAATGATAAATAATCATTTCTCTAAAATATATTAAAAAGCATATTTTAATAAGACTTAAGTTTTATCTACTATATTTTAAAATAATTTCCCAGAGATTAATGTGATATGATGAACACTATATGTTACCTTAAAAACAAATTTTGAAAACTGAGAAAAAACTATGATCACTACATTGGAACAGATGAAGGAAAGATCTGTTTAAAATGAAGATCTGATTAGGCATTATTTGTATGACAATAGTCCAGAATAAGAGGTCCATAGAAAAGTGGACTTTTAAAAAGTGAACTGGGGGAGTTGGGAGGAAAATGTGCAACAATGTATGAATGAATGAATGAATGAAAAGACAACTTTTCTATAAACTTTGGTTAAAATCACAATTAAAAAATAATGAAAAAAAATTAAAAAAATCAAATTTTGAGAACATTCAAGTATCTATTAATTTCTCAGAATTTTTCTGGTAATACATGAGTTTATCACAGAATGTGAAAATTATTTTA